GAGTTTCCAAATAACCCCCCCTCTAAACCAGCCAATTATCAACATCATCATCATCATCATGTCCCAGCAGATCAGTCTGATATCTCCATCTGTGCACAACTTTTTTGAGCAGTTGATGGATGAGGGTTAATTTTCTGCGCCTCATCCACATTAGGGATCAACATCACTTGTTTAGAAATTCATTTTTTCTTAAAATGGAAGTGCTCCTCTGACAGTTAACATGCATTTATGCTCCTCAGTGAGCAAACATATCCATATTTACGTCTACAGGCTAAAAACATTCAATTTCACATTTAACATCTAATTAAGGTTTTGTTCATCATTTTGTGAGCTGTGCTACATTCTATGAGGCTAAATTAGGTTTAGTTTATCTTCAAGTTAATCTTCATAAGAGACATCCGGTTCGACCAACTTTGGGTTAAAAGCAACTGAAAAGTCAGACTTCATTACATTTGTGTAAGTTTTAATTATTCTAAACAACATTTTTCCTCCAAAGTCTTTAAGCAATATTACTTTCTGTACAATTTGACTTTTAGGGAAAAAATTGTTCCATAAGTTTTGTTGTGTGTGTGCACAGTTGGTTCATGATTAACATGTTGTCTGTGCTGAAGGAGCTGAAATCATCAAAGCTCCATCTCCATGATGGTAGATGGAATATCGCCCTCACAGTCAAGCATCATTACACGCAAAAGTGCGTCTTGTGGGAGGAGAACATGTAAATATATCAATTTAGCACTCGCAAAGTCATTTATTAAACCTGAAAGCAATTTTGCTAACGGTATCTGACTCTATATTTAACACGTTTCAAAAGAAGGTGCAAATGGTCTGTATGCGTAATTGCGCACACATGGCAGCGGTTATTGTCGCAAGAAGGAGACGTCGAAATGAAGCAAGGAGACGCAGAGAACGCATTTTTTCACTCCGTGTGAATATTTTTGGAATGAAGGAGGAAACGATCATCAAAACATATCGTTTATCCAGCATTGCCATTTTGGAGCTGTTGGGGGAACTCCGAATGGATTTGGAGCCAGCCACAAGGAGGACCCACGCAATACCAGATATCACAAAACTCCTTGCAACGTTGCACTTTTTGGCATCTGGGTCATTCCAGCGTACGGTTGCAGCGAGAGCTGGGATCTCCCAATCTCATTTTTTCAGAAGTGCTGTCCGACGGGGTCGGGGTTCTCCCCCTGCGCCTGTGGAGCAACCTGCCAAATGCTGCGGGTATGAGCCATGTGGTATGTGCATACAGGCCAATACAAAACACCTGTTTTTTTGTTTTTTGTTTTTTTACTGCAGTGAAGTAGAAATTCAGCCACATACCACCTTAGGGAATAAAGGTTGCCAAAGTTTATATATATATATATATATATATATATATATATATATATATATATATATATATATATATATATATATATATATATATATATATATATATATATATATATATATATAATTTTTTTTTTTTTTTTTTTTTTTTTTTGGAGGGGATGGGGGTGTCACTGTAAGATTTAAATTTCTTAATGCACTAGTTTGCACAAACTACAAACTACTTTGCCGCAAACCACAAAACGCGCAAAACCATCATTTAAATAGGGCGTCTCCAACAGTTTTGCACCTGCCACCAGTTACGCAATCGCTCTTGTTAAATCACCCGCAAACCATGGTTCAGCCCCTCGCGCAAAATTCCAGTTTGCGAGCGCAAATTACTGCACGCAAAATTAGATCTTGATAAATCCGGCCCACAGACTTTCTTCCAAACAAACATCCAAACAAGCCTCACGACTTCAGCCTTTTCCTGATCTTATAGTCCTTACTTTAACAACAGGGATTGTACTTGACAATATACTCTTTCTTGCTGCAGAATGAGGCCCTGCACAAGAGAAACAATTTATATTCTATTTCAGATTGATGAGCAGCAGCTGAACAGTTTTATCTCCAGCGTTTTAATCCAGCTATCACCTTAATCTGTTATAACACAAGAAAATTAACTATGGTGATGAATAACAGGACATACATATTGAGAAAACGTGAAGCTAAGTCTAAAATGGTGATTTCAAAAATTATCATCATTATAGTTATTGTTTAAAGTTGCCTACAGCTATCAACACCTACAAAACCTGTTAAAAAAAATAACGTATGAGTTACTGCAACATTAATTTCCCTTTGGGATTAATAAAGTATTTTTGAATTGAATTGAATTGAATTAAAACTGAGGAAACATGTCAGACAGCTATGAAAGCTAAATTAAAACATTTCTAACATTCAAGAAAAACTAATGAAAACACATTAATAACAGTTAAAGTGGAAACAAATACTGAAAGGTTAGAATAATAAAAAAAAAATCATTATAAGCCTATTTAAGCAGTAGAAACCAGGATGAAAAGATTGGTTTGCTTTTAAAATTCAGTTGCCGGTGATCAGTTAGTCAGAGTAAATGATTAATAGCTGCTATGTTACTTGTATTGCTCCCTTTTTTGTAAATGTTTAAGTCAGCAAATTGGACACAAAATCCTAGCTAATTAGTTTTTTTTATTGTGTCAATAATACTATATTTCAGCATTTTTTTTAAACATTACTCTCTGACACCAGCAGGGGGAGACAAAGACCTGAAGATTGAAATCGAAAATAAGTTTTGGAATAAAAATAAACCTCTGTCAATATCGCGTTTGTATTTATCGAGACATTTGCTATGTTAACTTCATGAAATGTGAAAAAGGGGAGGCTTTTCTTAATAATAAACCTTGCTTATGTGCACTTAAAAAAATGTTAAAAGTAAAAGAGAGTGTTAACACTTCTCTGCTTCCTGTCCTGCTCATAAAAGGTAAACATTATAAACCCACCATCCATTTTCTACATTATTTGGAAAACACAACACAAATGTAATATAACAAAAGTATGTTTAAAAACAAACATGTTAGCATCCAGCCATAGCCATGTCGGTTTTAGAGACTAGCTCTCTTCTGCTCCTCCATTAATGAGGGGACCCCACGGGCACGTAAAAAGTTGCCTAATTCCGTCATTTTCCACCAAAGTGTCACTGGCCACCTCAAACAACTCACATCTTTGTCAGTGAAGCTTAGTGCTCCACATCTCTTCCTTCATGGTGACCATCTACATTAAGATCCAAAATTCTGAGATTAAAGTCAGAATTCTGAGGAAAAAAAGTCAGAATTCTGACCTTTTTCCCGTATTAAACTGAAATGAAATTTAAAAATCACTTAACTTTTTTTTTTTTCCAGTGGCCCTAATCCTCTTCCGTAGTCTTGGGATGATCACTCATCCAATATTTAACTGCTAACTTTCTCTAGACGTTTGCTACGCTAGCCAAAATGTTTTTTTTTTTATATATATATATCTCATTTCAGTACATTGCCACCACCAACTAAAAGGCTGAAACAGCAGTAGGACTTACTCAGATTTTTTTAAAAAGAGAAACGTCAGTGTGAGTAACAGTCACCTAACACAACTTGTGTTGAAATTGGCCCGGTCTGGGCGTGCGTTTGACGAGGATTTTTTTTATTTTTTGCGTGGTTTTGATTCGCCGAAATTGACAGATGTTATACCTGCCGCGCTCCTGATCGTTAGTTAAAACCACAGGGAGAATTAATTTTAATTTCTAAGCAGCGGCGGCCGCATTGGTTGTGCAGCAGTCCACTGCACAACCACTAATTAACCAACTAATTAACTTCTGCACCTTTATTTCCTCAAACTGCTGGCTCCTCTTTTTAGACGATAAACAGATTAACACAACATTGACAACTCTGTAGTTTTCTCTGTTCTGTACTGCAAACTGGAATTAAAGGCGCCATTTCTACCAAAGGTCTTGACAGACTGGCGACCTGTCTAGGGTGTACCCCGCACCAGCACCTCCTGACCCCACTAAGGGACAGGGTGCACAGAAAATGGAAGGATGGATGGATTTCTACCAAAGGTTGATAATGCGTTTTTTAACCAGATGCTTCAAAGCGCCCTGTCCATAATTCTTCAACACACTGTCAGCTCCCTCTGTCAGTCAACCTATATAAATTCATTTTTGACCATTATTGCAAGTTTGACAAAATAAAACATATCAAACTTTGCACATGTGTGGCTTAGTGAATTGTTTTTAATCAAACTGAAATATTTGATTTTCTAGTGTGATGCAGACACTAAATATGCTAAGGGTTGAAGTCCTTGAAAGACATCTCCCTTTGCTTAATAAAAGACTCCAGTCATTTTGTTTGGTGATATGCTCACATCTTATGAACAAATGCATTATGTAAATTTTAAATGCATTATTTTTGCAAGACACATTTATAAAGGAATAAAGTAAAAGATTAAGTAGCCTTTTTTTTAAGTAGCATACTTAAGATATGTTTCTGTTGAATACGAATCTCAGATTTCCGACATGTGTCCCCCCCAATAGTAAACATATTCCTACGCCCTTGCTTCTCACAGATTCTCAGTTGAGTTTTGGATGCACTTTGGACCATTCTAGCACATGAATGTCCAAATATTCCAGACGTCCTGTGAAGGTAAAATTCTATCTCTATCTCAACTCTTTTCCTGCCTCTGACAGATTTTTTTGTTTTGTTAGATTTAGCTCCATCTATCTAGCCATCCTCTCCCACCAGCTTTCTGTTACCCGTTGAAGAAAATCACCTCTGCATCTTAATGATGTCACTACCGTGCTTTTCTGTGGAAGAATGGTGCGTTCAGGAGGGGGGATGTTGCTTTTCCTCCACATTTGGCATGTAGATCAACACATTTCCATCTAATCCGTGCAAAGATTCAGAGCACCTTCTTCCATGTTTGTGGTTTCACCCAAATGTTTTATCACTGAATCTGAATGAAATATGTGGACGTTTGTGCTTAGAGTGACAATGTTCCCTGCATGTGATCGGCTAATAACTCAGAGGCTCTGTGATGTGTCTGCATTCCCCAACTCCACACCCAACCACATGACCCTCCACCTCTTCACTCAGTGACAGCCCATCCCCAAATAACTTTCATTTTGCTCTGACTGACCAGTAGCACCCCCCCTCCTACATCAGAGCACAGGCAGGAGAAAGTGTGTGAGAAGAAGTGTGTCTCAGCGAAAGTAAAAAGATGAGAGGTTGTTTTTTGTTTTGTCCAGTAAGGTTTACTTTTCTAAGCTGAGCTTCAGGTCTGGATCAGTCGCTGATGGGGACCTGTGGAGGAATTTAAAAATGTCATACTTCCTGTGATTGAGGAGGATCGGTCAGCAGAGAGGTGAGTGTCCCACTGCCGACCCTGATTAGGCTCTGACGGGAGATCTCAGATATGCTTTGGTGTACTCACTGACACACTCTGATTCATCAACACAGAAATAACGCTTTACATCCCAGGTGTTGGAATATTAGAACAAGCTGAAGTTCTGAGATTAAACTGAAAATGTAAATGTGGACACCCTTAAATTAATACCATGTTGTATGACCTTTATATCCATGGATCTTCTCGGGTACAGTTCTCCCATCTGCAGCAATCAGTCTCAATAATCTGAAGTTAGGTGCACAATTAGGATTTTTCTTACAACTTTTTCAACTGAAGCTGCAGATTGTAGAAAAATTACAAAGGATGAGAATGTCATTGTGTGAGTTTGGAGAAGGATTGTTAAAAATCCCCATCATATAGCATGGCAGAAAATTTATGTTAAAAACTGGAATAAGAAAGTCTATTTCTTTTTAATGAATGACTATAGAAATTGATTCAAGATGTCTAATAAGCTGCAAGGAACTGTACGTTGCTAGAACTTGTTATATTCTAAATGAAAAGATAGACATTTATATCTCTGGGTGATAGAGGAACATTTATCTCTCTAGAAAAACCCAACACATCCAGCAAAGGATCAAATATCCCCAAACCATGTGGAAGAGAGTGTGATGGCCGGATGAGACCTCATGGGCTCCGAAGTTTAGTTTTTGGAACTGAGGTTGCTTTATTACAATTTGGCTCAAAGTTTGATTTTTTTAGCTGGAAAGCTGGAGAGAAAAGCAACCATAATATTATCCAAGTGGGGTTAGTGGAGAAGAGGAGGTGTCCTCCTTTCAATCTGGGGACCTTTTGCCCAGACAGACTAAACACGCACGATTCTGATAGACTCACATCAGAAAATGTTTGTTAAATTGAAATAGAAATGTCTTTTTTTATAGTAGCTTAAGATTCATTGTATGTGGACTGTATCAAACAATGTTTTTAATGCTGGTAAAGATTCTCAGTCATCCATATCATAGTCATTCCAGTCACCCAGGCCAACAATTTCCCCTAACGACCCCCTTCAGAGGCATAGGCCAGTATTGGGTATTGCAGGCTACCAAAAAACCCAAACGACTCCCCATTCCAAAGAGATGGACTCATTCTTCTGGTTCAATTTGCATGTTTTCTAAGCAAAAACATGACTTTGTTTTGGGCTACTCTATAAAGCTTTGAACTCAACGCTAACTCTGACATTTTGAGTTGAAAAAGCTTCCTGAATGGGAAGCGAAACATCTTCAAACTTGGAAACAAAGTCCAGTAGATTGTTTTTAGGAAATATTTTTAATGTTTTGTCAAGATTTGTTTTACTTTCTACAGACCGTATTTATTACTTTACTGTATTAATGTGTAAATAGATTTAAGGTTGGACGTGTTTCTGCTCCTTAGGAGCCTTCTTTCTTCTCCTCTTTAAAAGCACCTTTGATCTTCTCAGGCATTTAAAAAGACTAAGAGGAAAGTTTTTGTATTTGTTTGTTAAACCACCTGACCTCTCAATCATTGAAGCACCGAAAGGTTTCTAAGCTCAAGCGTTTGACCAGTGTTGTGTCAACAAACAGGTTATTTAGCAAGAAACAAATTAGAAATGGTATCTTTGTGCCCTTTAAGAGAAACCTAACCCGAAGAACTCCCACTTATTTCAACGGGTTCATAAAAAACAAGAATAATCCTTTATGCAACTGCTATATTTAAAATCTATCGGCCTTCTAGCTTAAACCCGTTCTTTATCAAACTCTTTATAAGAGAGAAAGCATAAAAGTCTTGGAAAGAGGTTTTTATTTTTTTGATTGCAAGAAGTTTTTATCCCAATCCCTCCATTTCTCTGCTTCACAGATGTCCTGAAGAAGAAAAAAGCTGAAATTAAAATCTGTTTCTGGACGTCCATCTTTCCATTGGTTAACTTGCTGTCAGCCATGGACTCCCAGGGGGGTCCGTACCTCAATAAGGGGGCTCTCTTGTCCCCCCTTGGGGCTGCCCGTCTCTGCCAGTTAGCTATGGGCTGTGCTGTGATCGCCATGGTGACCCACAGTGCAGGGTACAGTGGGTCACAGGGCATGTTCTGCATGGGGGCCTGGTGTTGCTGCTTCGCCATGACGGCGGCCGTGTTCTTCCTGGACGCCACTCGTCTCTACAGCTGCCTGCGGGTGTCCTGGGACAACCTGACGGTCACCTGGGCGGCCTGCGCCACGCTCATGTAGGTCACAGAAAACACTCCTCAACCAAACATCTCTGAGGTTTTACCTTGATACTGATTGAACTTTATCAATACTAAAATACACAGTAAAAATAATCCAGGTTCAATTTGATTTCATCTTTTTATTTCTGTATGATGATACAGACCCTATCATCATCATCATCCTCAAATTTTAGTTCTTAGATATATAACAAATGGAGAAGGATTCATTTTGAAATAAAAAAATGCAATTTCTCTCTTTATTTAGTCTCTAGATCAATTTAATTTTTTTTTTACAGTTTTGTTTGATGGTTTTCTTTGTTTTTTTGTAAAGGAAGCTGATTTCAAATTGTGATTAATAGCATGTGTCATGGATTTCTACATGTTTTATGATGTGTGAGGGGGGGGAAATGAGAATAAATCCCAGCAAGGTAAATGTTTTTTTACTGATGTGTCGGTAATATTTTAAAATGCTGCTGTAAAAATATAGAACACAGAGTCTGGAACCTTATGTTTTTTTTTTTTAATAAGGCCTGATAGTTTGGTTATCTGAATTTGGCTTTGAAGTGGAAAGCCTGGATCCTTTAGAATCTTTGTTTAGGGTAAATAATACAAAACAGAGAAAAAATATGACAAAGGTATTCTGCATGCCTTGGCCTCCACCCTTGCATGCCACCAAATCTCCACATTCCCCGCCACAGGTGGTTGGGCCCTGTGGAGGAAGCTTTGTAACGCTTTTTTTTAGGATCAGGCCAGCCAGGACACTGCCTGCCCCAGCATTGCTCCCGCAGGGTGCTGGATAAGTACAGCCTCTTCATTCATGGGTACCTTTCTGTTCTTATTGCGATCTAATGAGTACTTAAACATCATTAAACGAGGGGTGGGGGTGGGGGGGTAGGTCCTACGCTAGCTCTCAGAATATGGTTCTTAACCAAAAAATGATGATTGCTCCCCCTCGGGTCAGCGGTCAGTTACTTTTTCTGCCTCAAGAGAAGCGTTTATCAGTCCTAGCATCTCCCTCACAGATAAAGGTCTATCTCTTGATATATAATAGAGATGGAATGAAGCAGAATGATGTGTAGTGGTCCCTATGTCTTCCAGCAGCCCAAGCCTATAGCAGCATAAATAGCTCAGCATAACCTGTGTGTCTCTAACTATGAACTATATCAAGAAGGAAAGTTTAGGAAAAGGCGGTAAGGTGCTACCACTTGATATCCTACTTCATGAAGAGCTACCTTTACATATAAACGTTGCGAAAACAGTTTGGAAGCATTTCCCTTTCTTTTTCTTGCAAATTAAAATAATTTACCAGTAGGTACCAATAATCTCTTTTCTTTCATCATACTCACATAAATGCTGTTTTCTTCTTTGTTATCAAGAAATGTTGAACCTTTAGTGGTATATTGAATAAAATTATTTGACTGATTTATCCATTCAAAAGCCTAAAAACAGAACTAAAACCATTTTGTTCATATTTAATGGGTTTTATAAAGCTTGACTGGGTACATTTAAAAGACATCAATAAGTACAATAATTAAAACTGTGAAGAAGAAACAATATGGAAACTTACAAGAATATTATGCCTTTAAAAGTTCAGGCATTTTATGTACTATATATTGTTCTTCTATATAATATATTCATTATATCTTTATATATAATATATATAAAGTGTTATATTATATATAACACTTCTTTTTTTTAATGACACATAAAAATGATAATTGTCTGAAAAGACTCTATACAACATGGTGCATAGGTCTCCACTGTTTTACAGCTGAGTAAGACCTTTTTTCTTTTTTTAATAAAGTGAAATTGTAAGTGAAAGTGTAATGTTGGATCAAATAGATAAAGTTGTCTTTCTGTCTCCTTCTGCAGGTACGTCACAGCCTCTGTGGTTTACCCATTGTTCTTTGTCCGATCTGAGTGCCCATATGAAGGCTGTGAAGTCAGAGATTTCCGCATTGCCGTCACCGTCTGCTCCATCCTGGGAACTCTGGCCTACGGTGCCGAAGTGGCTCTGTGTCGGGCCAGACCAGGCCAGATTGTGGCGGGCTACATGGCCACCGTCCCTGGCCTTCTTAAAGTCGTCCAGGCCTTTGTTGCCTGCATCATATTTGGAGCTCTTGCCAACGGGAGCCAGTTTTCAAGCTATGCTGCCACAATCTACTGCGTGGTTGTCTACGCTTCTTGCTTTGCTCTCACTGCCTTGGTGGTGATAATGACAGTATGTAAACGCACTAAAACTGTGAGGTGCATGCCCTTTGAGCGCTTTGTGGTGGTGTGCACTTTCCTGGAGGTTTTGCTCTACCTAAGTGCTTCAGTGGTGTGGCCGGTTTTCTGCTTTGACACAAAGTACGGGTCTCCATGGAGACCATCATCATGTCCACAGGGCAAGTGTCCTTGGGACAGCAAAGTGGTGGTTGCTGTCTTCTCCTGTGTGAACTTTGGTCTATATCTGGCAGACCTGCTTTACTCACAGAGGATCCGATTTGGCTCATCACGTGTTCCTGCTCACTCACGGGTGTAGAACCACTTGTTTTAGAACTGTTTGTTTTAGAAAGTTGAGATATCTACACATATTATAAGGATAACGTACTTAAAGGTGGTACCAACTAAATGAGTTGGATTTAAACATCAATTATATGTCATATATTTAGAGAAAATTAATTAGCATTGTTTTTTTATTGTTAATTTTCTAAAATAATTTGAAACATAAAAAGGAGAACATATTAAAGTTCAATGAAAGGTAATTATTTGAATAACATTAAGGGTTTTATTGTAAGAGATTACAGATTTGTGAAACTTAATTTCTTTATATTTTTACCTTAATATATCCAGGCGTCCTGGTTACAGTATGTTTTAAAGTGACCTTCATCACAGTTTTTTTTTTTTAAGTTTTCTAATTGCCTTGCCAAGTTTTTATTTCTTTAGCATGTTCAGCTTGGTCCTTATCAAAGGCAGCATGATGTATTGTGTGTGCTTCAAAAAGTAGGAAAGTGGATAGTTATTTGGGTAAAATAAAGAAAAAGCCTGAACCTTAGAGATGTGTCATCCTTTAGCTGATAATACAAATTGAAAGGTGTTTAGAAATTAAATTGTTGCTACTAAAATACAGTTTTAAGAGTTAACTTTTAAATTTTGATTCAGCTAAAGAAATGGGAACACAAGGAATCTTTGTGGCAGGATGCTAAAAACTAACTAAAGGTTATTCTATTGTTACAACCAATTATTTTGTCTGTCTTTTTGGCCTAACTCAGAAAATCATGAGCAGAGAAAACCTGGAACTGCTCATGATATATATACATATATATATATAGCAGCTAAATGTAGATATATCCTTAGAGGAAAACTCGCCAAAAGCCTGGATTTACTATCACTATACCATCTGACCTAACTAAGTTGGAGAAGACATGCAGAGTGAAGTGGAAAAATAAACCCTAAAACAGCAATAGGAATGCTTATGGAATTCCTTTTGGAAAAATAAGGGGGGAAAAAACTCATTTAGTCATTGTTGAGTATTATGAGTGGAATTTTGAGGGAAAATACAAATTTTATTCATAATGGAATAAATCTTTAACATAATACAAAACAGAAAATATTTGTTCAGATAAACACTCTGTTAAACTTCCAACCACCAGGTAGGGTGACCAGATCTAAAAAAAAAAACAAATATGTGACAACAAGGATACTCATGAGGGACGATGTGAGACAAATGCTGTTTTTTCTTCACAAAAAGCTCACTAAGAATCACCTTTCACTGGCTTCACCCAGTTATAAACCATTCAGCCAAGTTTGTTTCTTGTATCTTGTAGGTATGGGAAAAAAAAAACAAATTCATTGGTAAAATGGACCAAAGCCGCTTTTTTTGTACCTGAATTGGTCAGAATTAACTAGTTTAAGTACAATATATATATATATATATATATATATATATATATATATATATATATATATATATATATATATATATATATATATATATTTTTTTTTTTTTTTTTTTTTTTTTTTTAAATGTAAATTATTTGACTAAAAATTGATAAAATTATGAAAAAAAAACATTGTGAAACACTGAGGAATTTTGGCATTTCTACTATTTGATTATAACTAAATGAATATAAAGTAGTTTTTATGCTGATAATAAGATCATATCTATTTCATATATAGTGTTTGCTGAAACACAAGGTAAACTCAAATTCAGAGAACTGATAAGGAATTTTTCCCATCTTAGACACACCCCACATAAGTGACATCCTATCTCTTTAAATAATCCCCTGACCCATTCCTAACCAAAGTTTTCACAGACCTTAAGGTACATAGAGCTAAATGCTCAATGTGCTGCACTATTTCTCAATGGAGTAACACTGAGTACTCTGACTTGTGATTTGAATGTTGAATAAAATAATTGATAGTAATATACGACATAAATTGTACATCTGGTCATGGCATCTGTGCTATTCCTGCCATCTGCAAACCCCACACCCAGCAATTTACAGGCTTCACCACAGCTGCCAAAAATAAACACAACCCATCTGCACTCATTCTGAAGCAGTGACACAGCATTTATAGGACGCCGCTGATGTTAAAGCTTCTCTGAGAGCTGTCCTTTCCTATTTATACCAAATAAATTTATACCAGTTTTAGAGAGAAAAGCCAATCCCACCATCTTTTTACCTACAGTTTAAACTATCATGTTTAAAGGCAAGATACGATTGTAATTTTACAGTGAGAACAAGGTCAGAGTGACTTAGTAATGTTTGCGTATTTACTCTCCAAACAAAAATCCCACATGCACTTTGGCCATTCAAATTTCCTTTATTTAAAATATAAAAAATGCAATTCCTTTGAAAATGCTGGGTCAATACAGAATAGGTGTGCTGCTCTGCTGAAGAAGCTAAACTAAAACAGACACTAGTAGTGGAAAAATATAATAGCAGAAGATCTTTAGAAAAACTCTTGAGGAAATACATTAAAAGAATAAATAAAACAAAACAGAAATATATCCATGTAACTTTAAGTGATGATGGACCAGCATAATAGCGTAAGAGAACATCACTAGCACATATAGCAAAACAGCACACAATGCTATATTAAAGTTATAGTGGAGGATTTTCACAAAGTTTTGAAAAGACCCACCCTCTCCATAAAAAAAAATGCACATGCACAACCCTGTACCCGCTCCCGAGAGGGGACGCTTATTAAACGCGTGAGAGAGCATGCACCAGCCCATTTCTCCACCTGCATGCTCTGTTAACAAGTTGCTGTTTGCATTGCTCATAAGCTTACTTTCCAAAAGAAGATTCACAATTTTCCACTATGTCAGACTCACCACCGTTAAGTGAAATTTGGGATGAGCCCGTAGGACAGCCTTATTTAAACATATCACCAAAATGATTGACAGTTACAGTAGGACAACCACTTATTTTGATGATCCACCCAGAAAAAGAACATCCTCCACTATATCTTTAAAGCATTAAACAAAATATGAACAAGAAAAAATGCACAAGTGGAAATCTTTGAACATCTGTTTAAAATTTGCTTATTCGTATTGCTTTAGCATAAAATAGCTAAGTCTGCCACTTTTTCCATTATCATATGTTTAGCATAAGCTAAAGTTCTTAAAAGGACCATGTTAACATTAAAGAGCAATTAATGTCTGTGCTAAATTAAGTAGTATGTTGGAACTGTTTAATATCAGGTGCTGTCCTAATAGCAGCTCATTTGTTTGCAAAAAATACCAAACTTTTTTTTTTTTTTGCTACAGTAGAATTAGGATCATAAGATAATATTACAGGCTTGGCTAAAACGCAGCTAAAGATCCATCCATCCATATTCCATCACGCTTATCCCAAAGAGGGGTCGCAAGTGGTGCTGGTGCCTATCTCCAGCTGTCTACAGGCTTGAGGCAGGGTACACCTATGACAGGACGCCAGACTACCGCACGGCAACACAGAGACTAGCAGGACAAGCAACCATTCACGCAAACACTCACACTTAAGGAGAATTTAGCAGCCATGTCAACAGTCATGTTTTTGGGCTGTGGGAAGAAGCCGGAGCACCTGGAGAGAACCGACGCATGCTCAGGGAGAACATGCAAACTCCATGAAGAAAGACCTGGAGCCGGGAATTGAACCCGAAACCTTCTTGCGCAGGGAGTAGGGCTCAAACGCAGAACCTCAGAATCAAAAGCTCTATGCCCTAACCACTAGGTCATTGCTCTCCTCTCCTTGTTCAACAGCTCATGCTCAGAATCAAAAAACAAACTAATCTTTTCTCCTTTTTCAGCCCTTCTTTTTGACTTTTGTAATCTCAGTTAATCTCGTGAATCTAATCTAGGATCAGCATTGCTATATCAAATCTGTTGATAATAATGAGAAGCACGTTCAGCCACTTAGTCAGCAATGAATCCAACACCAGCTGGCCGCTTTGTTTAAATCTGATTAAGACTGTAAAGGACGTCACTGTGTGATTCGGAGGTTTGCAACTTCACTCATTCTGCCAATTTTTGAAACAAATCAGTGTGAAAACGAGTGGCTAATATTTACCTAAAGCAATTAGAGAAAAAAATGATTCACAGAGAGTATCATCAGCACAGAGTCTGTCACTCTTAATTACTCCTTGATCCTCAGCAGACATCCTGCTTAGCAGCTGCTTCATGTTCACTCATTTTCCTCCCTTCTGGCCCCTGTCTTAAGCATAGCAGCAGAGTGACTCGTCAGACAAGGATGAGCTGTGACAGATGTCCATCATAACTGTCCCTTCTCGGTTTACCTACTGAGGGCCCATGGAACTACCATTGACGGCTGGTTTACGACTAATCCCTGATGTCGTATGTCTCTGAAGCTGTTTCCTCCCTGGAGTTCTTAGCTTTTGTTGGACAAATGTGTGGATTGTTGCTGGCATCTGAATCTTTTATCCAGTGGATGTAGGTTCATAGCAACATCACACACTTGAGTTTCTCTAGCAAGCGACTGTAAAACAGTCAAAATTTCTATTTATCAATAGACTCAAGGTCCATGTGGACATGAAAACAACACAGCTAAGAACCACAAAATATAAATTACATCTTTAATGTAATGATGTGTTAAAGGTCTGAGTTAAACAGATCATTCTAGATAGAAAGATAACACATTTTAGAAGGACAGTTTTCATGAGACAATACTTGTATTATAGCCATAACATTTGTGAGTGCACTAAGAGTTAATTCTTTGTTTATGTCACGAGAGAATCCAGTATTCAGGCAAGACAGACAGTCAGTGGGATTGCTCAAAAAGCGTTTATTTAAAACAGGCGAATTGAAGTAGCTGCAGCTAGGGCATCAGAGGTAGGAAACTTTTGGGAGAAGAAACACAGGTTATTGAAAACGTAAATCTAATCGAGGAAGATTATGAACGTGAGTCACTAACCTGGTTTGCAAGTTCAGTCCGTGCACAGAAAACAAGGTAGGATCCAGCCGATAGGCTGCATGCTCCGCCCAGGGTTTCCCAAATGCTGCAGCCCCGGAGAACATGCAGAAGTCCTAAGACAGGTCAAGGCAAACAGATCAGAACAGGCAGGCTCAGTGGTTGAGAGTCAGCACAGGTCAGGATCAGGATATCTGAAACACTAAAGGAACTCTAAAAACACTCTTACCACTGGCTACAGAGAACAAGAATAATCTTGCTCTGATGACTGGATATAAGCTGTTAAATAGAGGCAGGAGCAGGTGGATCAGATGAGGAGTGTTGAGAAACCAGGCAGAGTTACACAGGTGAAATAAACAAATAATTAAGCCAGTCATTAGCACCAAGATCGTGACAGCTTATTTTCAAAATTATTAAATCCATACTTATGAAATATGTTACGAAGGTTTTTTTTTTTAATAAAACATGTAGTCATAGCATTATATTGTGTTGGTATTAGGAGTCAGTGGTTGTAACTTCATCAGTTTTAAACAATTCACTGTATTCTCTTGCCCAACTGAAACCTGATGATTACAGTGCACATGCTTGATGATTACAGCTTCAATTATTGGTGATAGATGGGCCTGTTTTTCAGTGTTTA